AAAAGGCTGAATGAAACCGGAGCATTGGCTACAGACAAGCCCACTGGGAAGTTCCCCAGATTGCCATACTGGGGCAGAACATTGCCCAGCTCACGGGGTGCTGAACAGGTCTGGGATAAACAGTCCTGTATCACTGGGAAGCATACAGCCGTGGGGCAGCCCAAACAGAGCACTTCTGATCAGACGCCACGGTGATCGGTGCCTCATAAAGTCCAGGCAGACAAACCAGCAGCTCCACAGCTCTCCAGGGCCTCACTGGTGCTGCCTGTAAGATGTGCACATGGCCCTTATCGAGCTGCCCCAGGAAATTACTGGGGCACTGCACTTCTGAAACTCAGGCCAAAGCCAGGATCGGGCATTTGCTCCCATCCATCCTCTGCCGGGAGCTCCTTTGCTCTCCTCACCCTGCTGGGCTTCACAGCCGCTATGCGAGTCATGTTGCCCTTCGTATCACTTTCAGCAACACCCTGTACTCTCTGCTTTCCTCTTGTTTCAAGTGCATTTAGTTCACTGAGAACTGGGTGCACGCCAGGCACTTGTTACACATGGGCCCATCAAACAGCCGTCAGGCTGGGGCAGGGGGGTGGGCACCAAAGGCTCAGGAGCGCATCATCAGGCTCTGCAGCCCCTGGCTGTGTTGGAAATATGTTAGAGTCTGTCCTCTTTTTGCCTCCTCTGGGCTCGCTGCCTATGGAAAGTGCATCCCTGCATGCGTCTCCTCTGGTGGGTGATGAGCGCTCAGAACCAGGATCTTTTCACCCTTCAGACACGAGCTCCACGTCCTGCTGGTGGTGCCCTCACCCCTGCTACAAAAAGCTGCCCCACCCCCATGCCTTCTCTACCTCATCTGCAGAGGAGGCATTCATTCAGCTGAGCCCAGATGGCACAAAAGCCCTCTGCATACTCATACCTGGATGTCCCGGGCCCTTTCATAGGATTGATAAGCCACTTTCTCCTCCATACTGGCCAGCTCCTGCTTCAGGTTGGTCATCTCATTCTGGTGGAGCTCTGTCAGGTCGTTCAGCTGCTCCTCCAGGCGCTCGTACCTGTGGCGGAGAGAGAGAAAGAGAGGGTGCACTTGGAAGGTAAGAGCACTTGAAAACCTTTCCAGCATCTTTGGCTCTTCCATTCTGGCCTCCTCCCTGGCAGAAGAAGGGCCTATTCCTTGAAGTCCAGGGTCTCAGAGCTCCAGCTCATCTTGCCCCAAACCTCACTGGTTTCCCAGAGATCTGGGATGTGATGGATGGTATAGAAATGACTTTGGTGTCAAACATACGAGGCAGTTCACATGACAGGTTCTGGACCCAGTAGGACAGACGGCAGTGCTGTCCAGACCAGAAGTTCAGAAAGAGATAAAAAGTTAGCAGGACTCTACCTTGCTTCACTCAGGCTGCTGGAGAGCCTTCAGAAGATAACAGCTCTTCTGCTAACCCTGCACTGGATTCAAACAATGGAACTGGACAGGAAAGGCTTTGCAACTCCTCCCCAACAGCCCCCATGGAGCACTGACATGTGTATGTGCAGAGAGATTTTTCCTTGGCTATTCAGATCTGGAAGCCTGGGATTTTATTTCCATCTCCTCTGTCACTGGCAAGTGGATTCCGGGATATTTTAGGACATTTTCCAGCTACCAAAAGGGGGTTGGAAGAAACTTCAAAGTGGTGGGCTGAAGAACAAAAGGAATCCAGATAAACTTGCAAGCACGCATGTCTGCGATGCACACATGCTCACAAGCTCCCGACCTGAGGAGTACCTGGAAACAGCGCTTGGGCTTTTTTGTCCTGAGCCAAAGCGCTGAGCAGAGAAACCTGCAGGCAGTGCGTTCCTTGGAAGCTGGGCCTTGTTTGCTATCAGCTGGGGAAGTGAGATGAGGCGGGCACTGCCTAGATTAGCAAGGTGATGCATTTCCTTTCACCTCTTATAAATAGCCCATCACCTTTCTTCTGAGGGTGATTTGTGGCTGGGAGACATGACACAGGATTTGCCCGGCCAAGGGCTGCTGGGAGGTCTTTCAGCTGCATGAACAGTGGGAGATGGGGGCTCTTAAGCCTGCAGGCCACTCTGAACATGCTGGGCTCAGCATAACGATTCCTAGTTTGTTCTGTAACAGGACCAGGCCGCCAGGATCTGGCCTCTCTTCCCCTCTGGTTTACCAGGAGGGGTGGAAGACTCCAGATTGCATACAAAGCCTTTCACCCCATGCTTGCCCAATTGAGCCCGGTTTGGATCCATAAGCTCATCATCTAAGCTAGGGGCTTCTTAGCCCCTTTTTTGATCTGTGACCTTTAAAACAGCTGTTAAATGCTCTCAGGATCCTCCAGATCCTCCCGAGCATTTGTAGCTGCAAAGGATGGTGGGATCTGGGTTGAAGCTCTGCTGTCTGCTCAGTAAGAGGATATATTTTAAGCTACCTCCGCCTGCAAAGCCAATCATATTCCAAAACACCCATTTTTTGTTACTGCAAAGGACACAGCCAAGGGGGTTGGCATCCTTGCTTCAAGTCGTTTGTTTTCCACACAAGGAAGCTTAACATTGGAACTGAATCCTTTGCCAATGTCTCCAAGCACTGCGTGCACATCTCTCCGGGCTATGGCTGTGTCTGTACACAAGTGTTTGTTGTCACAGGGGTGTTGTTACAGGGCCAGGCTGGGTTTGCTATTGCTGGGCTGCTCAGATACACTAACGCGGCCCACCGTGATTTAATTTTGTAGGACTGATTGTGGGCACTGCAGCCGATAGCATCGGTTTGAAACTGGGAATGGGATAGGAAGGGATTGGTTTTAAGGCAGAGCATGGTTCAGGACTGATCTGAAGGGCAGGCAGAGATGAAGACCCATTGCTATGAAACACGATGGCCTCCCTGTGGGACGAGCCTGGCAGAGACGGGACGGACATGCTCGCACATGGCCGCACTCGGCGGGGCCCTACCTGTACCGCTCCTCTTGCAAGCACTGCGTCATGTAGGTGTAGTCCCTCTGCAGCTGTGCCTTGAGGTCCTCCATTGAGTCCTCCAGGTGCGATTGACTGTCCTTAATCTCCCGGAGCTCCTCCAGGATGGTGTCAAAGTTGTTGTGGTGGCTGTCAAGGGTGTTGGACTTGGGGCTGCCCAGTCCGCCAGGCCCGGCCCCCGAGTTGCTGCCCCCCGCCGACCCCGAGGTGGCACTGGAGCACTCGTCGTCACTGCCGTACTTTGGGCTGGACACCAGGGTGGCACTGCCACTCAGGGTCCTCGAGGCCTCCTCGGGGTGCCCGTCATCCAGCGTGTCCTTCAGGTGGGCAATGTTGTCCGCACTGCCGAACTTGTTCCGGATCAGGCTGGCGAACTCCCGGGGCTTGGAGACCACGGCGGTGTGGGTGGCCTGGGACAAACCGGAGAGACCGCCCTTGACGCCTTCCACCACCCCACCCCCAAAGCCGCTGATGCTGGACCGGACGTTGGCTCCTACGTCCTTTAGGCCCTGGTGCATGTCCCGGAAGACATCCTTGGGCTGCCGTGAGGGCCCGTTCTGCTCGATCTCTTTTAGCTTCTTGTGGTAGTGTTCGAGCTTCTTGTGCAGCTGGGCGATGGTCTGGGCAGACTTCTGGTTCTTCTTCTCAAAGACCTGCTTGATGCGGGAGGCCTGCTGCTTGTCGGCATTGTTGGCCAGCTTCAGGTACTCAGCCACGTTGTCGTCTCGCGCCTCCTGCTCGATCTTGATCTGCTCCGTGATCTTGAGGATCTTCTGGTGCAAGTGCTCAATGGCTGCCTTCGTCCTGTGTGGATCCGGGGTGCCATCCGGGACGTCCAAGCAGAAGTTGCCGTCAGCATCGCCGTGACTCACGTTGGAAGGCAAGCTGAGTGTGCTCACATCCCCTTTGTCCAGCTGGAGGCAGAGAAACAGAAGGAGAAATCTGAGCAAGAGGGATCTAAAAACAGTGCACCTGTGGGACAGAAGGAAGCTCAGATACCACCGTGATGAAAAATGCATAGACAGAATAGACAGAGACTGAGAAGGAGAAGAGAGAGAGACAGAAGAGAGATGGTTTGGTGTGATAGGAAGATAGAGTGATAGCTAGAAGCCATTGCCTTCTGGGGTGGTTGGATAATGTTTCCCATCAATAAAATTGCTCCTGGCATCCTAGGAACAAGGCAGTAAGAAGACACAGCAATAACACCATTACACTAGGGGCTCCTCTTTGGGCTGAGCTGCCGTTCTTGGGGTCAATTTCTGCTCTAAGATTATCTGCACAGGGGGACTTGATATGGATATTGTGCCCGTCCTCGGGTGCTAGGTGGGGTGGGGAGGATTGCATGGGTGTTCCAGCACTTTAACAGACTTACAGATGGAAGGAAATAGAACTGAAAAAAGGTATAACCTTCAGAGGATGTCTCAGTCCTACCTTACGCTCGGGACCCCTGTCAGTTCACTATAGAGGAGCTGCTGCTGTGTGGCCTCTTCCTTTAAGGCTGCAACGGGGGTAAATAATATTTTAAATCATATTAAAATAATAATATGAATAATTTTATAAAATAGGGGCTTTTTTTATAAAAAAGAGATGCTCATAAAGGGGAAGTGATATTGCTCAAAGCCACTCAATCAGTCCGTGGCAAGATGCAGGAACAGAACGGGAAGGTCCTGGCTTGTGGTCCTTTGCCACAGCCACTGAATCATGGTGCTTGAGTCGTCAGACTAAGAAGCTGAAACCGAAACCCAGGCTCGGATCTGGCACCGTAACTGGAGAGGGCAAAGATGAAGGGACCAGGCTGTATTTTGGCCCGAGGGAGCACAGACAAGAAGGCAAGGTTATACCAGGAAGGAGATGCCAAAGTGGAGCCCGGAGAGTGCCCTCGAACACGAGGACAACAGGAGGTGGAAGACGTACTAAGCCCCTTCCCCATCTAATTCAGATCTTTCCATGTGACAATCTTTCACCTGAGGACACCAGGTCCCTTTGCAAACATGCTCAGCCCACTTGGGAGGCAGGCGAACATGTTTGTTTCCCAAGGGAAAAACCGAGACACAGCAAGGAATCGCCCAGCTCGCCACTGCGGACCCTTGCACGCAACTCGCAGGCATCGAGCCAGACACCCCGAGACCATGCCATCGGTAAAGGCAGGGGAGGGGAGGGCACTGCCAATGCCCTGGCACTGCAGGGACAAGGAAGGAGCTGGTTCATGCCCAACGGGTCCAAGGCAGAGGACTGCACCCCACATTACAAAGAAAGGCAAGAACACCGCAGCCTGTCGCAGCCTGACAAATTCCTCCCTGACCCCAAATTTTGCAATCGGGTTGGCCCTGAGTTGAAGTGTCCCAGTCTATCAGAAGAAGGTGAACCCCTGCCCTCCCACCCCAGAAGCCATGCAGTGCACTGGGGAGAGAGCGCTACTCCTTTACACCATTTCTGGGCGCAAGGCTGGCCCCACTGATGTCAGCAGGAATTTGACACCTGTACTGCCAGGGTTATATACTATGCTTTCCTATCCCACATCCAGCCTGCTCTGCTTTGCTCTCAGTGAGCAGACCAGTCGCATAACACCCCCATTGTCATCACTTGTATCGTGTCACATCAGCATCCCCCAGACGAGACAATGGGCCACACAGTGCTCAGTGCTGTACAAACACCAACCCTGGCCCCAAATACCTAAAGGTCCAACGCGGGCAGACGGTGCCCTTGTTTCATCCACTGGGCACTGCAGCACACACGGAGATGATGTGACCTGCCCTGGGCATATTCTGGATGTGGAAGGCAGGTGGTGCCTTAACCACACACTGATTCCCCTCCCACCCCCTTCACAAACCTTCGGTGTCCCCATGAGTGTCGGGCACGCCGCCCCTCCCGGGACTGTGCCATGCGCTGGCAGAACCAGCAGCTCCTGGGTTCAGTCTGCACTGCTCAGCCTTTCCCTCGTACCTTCCACTTTCCATCCAGCTGCACTGCTCTCTTCCGCCTCATGGTAATTTAAGTTTCGTTGCCGAACAGGGGTGACGAGTCCAGATAAACCCAGAGCGCCAAGGGAGCGCGGTCTGGGGTGTGTGAATGCAGCTGGAGCCCCAGCCAGGCTGCTCTTATCTTTCTGTTTCAGATGTTGTATTGTAGGATGGGGCGGAGGGAAAGAAAGGAAAAGGGGAAAAACGCAACCCACACACAACTGTGGCCAGAGCTGCAAACTTGCCTCATCCTTATTAGATCAGCACATTGGGAGAAAAAAAACACAACACAAACCCATGCAGACGTTTCACCCGGCACTACCAGGCTATTCTTAGCTGTTTGGTGACTCCAGGCCTGCTTCAGGCCCAGAGCTGAAGCTGGGCTGAACCCTTGTCTCTTATTGACTGGTGGGAATTGGATGCTGCAGGAAATGGATGTTTTCAGCTGTACACTTCTGTAGACAGCAAGGATAAAAGCGAGTCCGGAGGGAAAGCAAACAGCCTGAGACGCGGCCCTGGCAGGGCTAAAACAGGAAGGCAAATGGAGCCTGTCCACTGGAGAAACGGCTCAACTCTGTTTCCGTGAAATGCTCCACTCCGGCACAGACCGGGGCACCGAAGTTCCCCTTTCTGGTGGGCTGGCTGCCTGGCCTCAAACAGGAGGTAAACAGTTTCTGGAAAAGCCTTCTCAGAAGCTGAATGCCAAGTTACGGGCACCGATGTTAGATGGCTCTGGGAATCCTCTTGCTTGCAATGTGCCGGGCTTCTGCAGACGGAGGTACTGGAAGCCGGGAAGGGAAGCTGGCTGAGTCCCAAACGTCTTGGAGCCGAACCCTCGCCCACCTAATTCAATGGGTTGCTGGTAACTTAAAGCAGACGAGGGTCTCACCCTGAGCTAATAGGGATGCTTGGGGAAAGCAAGAAGCTGCAAAAGCAGGGGAAAATGGACTAGGTGCTCTGAGCAGGGTGAGCTAATGCTCCATGTGCACAGGGTTTCATTCCAGCTGGGGCCACCGCTACAGATGCTGATGCCGCGGGTCAGTTAGGCCAGCACGTTCTCCTGGAGTCTCTACGGGCCGTCGGCGAGAGCGCCGGGCTCTGTGGGAGCCCTTCTGGTCACTTCTGTAGGGGAGCGTGGATGGCTTCCACTGCTCTGGGCTCTGCCTTGCAGTGCTGAGACTGGAGAGCTGAAGCCAATTCAATTCACTTGAAAGCTGCTTGGATCTTTGCCCCGACTTAGACAGCAACAGGCGGCTGGTCCCCAAGGAGAGACAAGGACCTGACAAAGCTGGTCCCAGTTGTACTTAGCAGGGTTAAACCCAACCCAGCTTAGCTCAACCGGCACAAACACCTGCATGCCCCTTTCTGAGATGAAGCAGGGCTATTCCCAAGCGGAGAAAAGGCTGAGTGATCCCTGTGGCCTCGTCCAGAGGAAAAGCCGCTGGCATTTGAGATCTCTCTAATCTCTGCACACTTGCATGTCCCCCTCCTGTGTGTGCGTGTGAGCCACGGTGAAGACTGAGGCTCTGCCTAGCGCCTTCTGATCAGGAAATCGAGGAGGCGCTGCAGTCTGGGACCCTTTTCTTTCAGCTGCATCCTTGGATCTGAGCTACACATCCAGGCAGCAGCAGCACTGGCTAACGGGAGATCAAAGCAGCCTGTGGCTTGCCTCACATGCCTGATTCAAGCTTGCCACTTCAGCAAAGACTGGCTGGGAAGGGGGAGACTCCACCCAGGGTCTCTGCTCCAGAACGCCCCAGTTTCTTTGTAAGCAACCGCATCCCGGGTGGTTTGTGTCGAGCAGCTGGGTCACCTGGGATCCCTCCATTACTGAGCAAGGCAGAAAGCTTTTTGGGGCAATTGGAGCCGTGCCCGTTTAGAGCAGCACAAAGGCAACAATCCTGGAGAGGGGAGCATAGCCAGGAATACCCCTGCTCCCTGCCTCTTCCCTTTCCTCGCCCCAGCCCGAAGCTGCGATGCTCTAAGTGGGTAGAGGGGCACTGAGCAGTGGAGGCTGCATTTGTTCTGCTGTCCTCTCCCGCACACGTGCTGCATGCGCTAGATGGTCACGTGAAGCTTTAGTCCTTAACTCCCACGTGGCGTCTCCCATGCACTGGCCTAAAGCTGGAGGGCAGCTCCCATGCTCGGTTAGCCCACACCCCAGCAAAGGAAGGCTTTGCGTTGCTCAACTAGCAGAGACAGTCGTTTCCTCCACCTGACCTGAGAAGGGCACCCAAATAGCGCAAGCAGGCTGCTCCTGGTGCCTGCAAGCCCCTGTGCATCACTTGCCTTGCTGCTGCAAAGCAGCTTGTCTTGGTACACAAGAGAGGGGAAGCAACCACTGCCCAGGGCTGTCCAGAGGTAAGTGAGGTGGCTCCTTCCTTTGTTGGCGGGTGAAGAAACTTTGCCTGGTGGTTTGGCCACCAGCCCCAGACTCAGGAGATGGGTGTTCACTTCCCTGCGCTGCCTCACTCCCCCTGAGACCAGGGGCAAGTCACCTGGCATGTCCATACCACTCAAGGACAGCGTGAGGGAGTGCCACAGGCCTGCCCACTCTGCACGTGCTTCCCCTGGAAGAGCTGCCACGTGGGTTTGCTTCGTGAGAGGCGGGTGCGTGCCAAGTGCGTCCAAGTGAGCAAGATGACTGACATGGACCCGTGCCAGCCCTAAGATGGCTACAGCACACCCGTTTTGGGGGGCAGCACTTCTGATCACTGGCCTCAGACAGAGCAGACATGCCCGTAGCCTCTTCGGCATGGTTAAGCTCCCTGTCGGCACCATGTAAATACCAGCACTTCCCCACCTCCCAGGGGATAAAGGCAGCAAAGAGTGGGAGCTGCTCAGCTATCACTGTAACGGAGCCGTGTAAATACACATGGCCGGAGGATTTGGGACAAGCATCAGATAAACAAACGCGAGATCCAGTTGACCTCAGAACTTAATCTTCCCACTGGCAACACACGGAGAACACGTGTGCGCATGCGTGAACACTCATACACATCTGCCCCCCATCGTTTCACCTGGGCCACACTCACAACTCCCTGCCTGGCGTGTGAGCAAACCCAAGAGCCAACAGCAGGACAGATGCGGTGAGCGAGGATGGCTGCTTTCGGCTGGCGTGGCTTTGCAGACACGAGGCGTGGGGGCTCCTGCGTGCGGGAAAGAAAAATGCTGCGTGTTATGTAGTCAGGCTAAATGGTAAAGCACAGAAGTATCAGCAATGGGACAAGACGTTCAAGGCATAAAGCTGTTCCAACACCAGGAGAATCTGCCATAAAATGGAAATATATTACTATTTTAAGTGTAATCATCATTGAGGCCCTGATACAGAGCCTGGGGAGCCCTGGGAGCTGTAAGGTCTCTGCAGCTCTGAAAGGTCAGGATACTTTTCAGAGCAACCTGCTTTTTAAGATCCTTGTTGTAACTGCGATGGTGTGAGAGCGGAGGGAGAGAAGCTAGGTTAGGGAGGTGAGATGCTACCTTTTATTGGACCAACTTACAGAGTGGGAGAGAGGAGCTTTTAGGCATCAAGTTCCCATCGCCAGGTCTGAGAAAGAAGCAGCCACAGTCCCAGCTAAGCTAGGCAGACTGGGGTGTGCGGCTGACAATGGCCCGGTACAGGTGAGCACATGCTTCTTCTGGCCTGTGCGTTTGGTAGAAGAGGTCAGGAAGTGGCCCAAACCCGGCCCCTGCCAGGAGACAAGCCACGGGGTACAGAGCACCTTACCTTCGGTACCTGGGGTCTCCTGGCTCTTATGTGACTTATGTGAAATAGGTTCAGTCCCACTTCTCCACCACCAACTACTATTGGGCCCAATCCTGAGCAACCTCAATTCAGCTCAATCCAACCTCAGTCTCACAGGAGAGGGCCCACTGCCCTAGATAGACCTGCAAGGGGCTTTCCCATGGCACAGCTGAGGTGCACGGGTGGTGGGAACCTGGGAGAAACCTGCCTTGCTTCCATGCCTGCTGCAGCCTGCCAGCAGCCAAAGAGCGGATGCCAATCTCTGGCAGTGCCAGCGCAGCCTCTCTCCGGCGCAGGCAACTAAGAAACGCAAGGAGATGCAATCTGGTTATTGCTTTCCAAGCAAAGGAATAATGCAGCTTTCAGCATTTGTGGGGGGTGCCATTTAAATCCAAGCAACCAAAACACTTTCTCTACAGCAGGGAAACCTCAACCCCAAATTAAATTGCTATTCGTTTCCCAATATGTCCTTCCCAAGGAGGGGGTTTATTTGGGGGGTGGGGAAGGTGGTAGCCTGTTCCTTTGGTGATTCCAAGGGATGCAGGAGGGGAATGATTCTTATCAACAGAGTTTGATCCAGGAGGGCTGAGTTTGGCTAAAGGCTGGATCTAATAAGCTGAGCAAGCAGCACTTAAAAAGCAGGTATCTGGAAGCACAATTATGCAACACTGATTTATTATCATCCATGGAGGTTGCAGTTCTGACCCAAAGGTCTGGGCTGATAAGTTTGAGCAGGCAGGGCTGTTCTGGGCTCTGAAGTGAGTTCTCTGGCAATTTGGGACCTCCCAGCACTGTGTGTTCACTGCCCAACGGGCTCCCAAATCCAGCAGTTTGGGGTTTGCTGTACAATGAGGACACAGTTAAAAACAGTCTATGAAATAACAGAGATACATTTCAATAAGTGGCCCATCATTAGAAGGCTGCTTGTTACTGTGGTTTATAACCACCGGGAACCTTCACCCGATGGGCTTTTAATTGCTGGTAAGTCATACTCGCCCATGTCTGTACCATGTTCCTACTATCCACTAGCTCTAACTTATTAGAAAGCTAAGTAGATGGCTAATTAACATGGCTTCTAATGTCTCAATATGAATTCTTTATAAGTTCTTCATGGACTGTTGGCATGAAGTGCGACTGTGGTTTGATAAGTGACTAAAGATGGAAAAGGATGCGTTAAAAAGAGTCACGTCTATTTTGAACCATGGAAAATGAAGTACATCAAGCAGCTCAAAGGTATAGGGACAGGGTCTGTGTATGGAGCAACAGCATGGCATGCTATGATAGTGCCCAACGTAACTGGGGAAGCAATGTGAGGGACAGTCAGAAGACAGATGGAAGACCTCTCAGGAGAACGCAGCAAAGAGGTCTGATAATAGCATTAGTTTATTCAAATAAGACTGGCTGTATTATCCACAGCACAGTGGATTGTCGAGGTTGCACAAAGGACGGGGCAGCCTGGTGGGCATGGAGAAGGCAGGAGATACAGATCCCCCCTCAGCCCACCCACACCTTAAATCTGCCTCTTCTTTTCCCATCATCTCTGAGGCTGCGCTATATTGAAAGGTGGCTCAGGACATGGCGTGGCTGCGCACAACACTCAGCAAGGCAGAGGGAGCTGGGGGCTTGTAGCTACCCCCTAGTAGAAAGCTCGGTGTCACCTCAAATCAGCATCAAAACTCATCTGTACCTGGCTTGGCAAGTGCTGCTGAACTGATCTGATGTGTGTCTCTTTAGACCCTGCAAGAGCAAAGAGAGAGACCTGCCGTGAGTGTTGGGTTCAGGGTTGTTGGGTCTACGCTGTACGGGGATGGGTCCCTGCAGGGGTCTGCTCCTCCCTTCCCCTGTTCCTTGACTAGTTGGTGATGCCTATCCAGGAGCAATGGGGTGCCTTTGAGCCCCCAAAGCGACTGTGCATAGCCACCCATGGACAGAAGGTGAGTGCAGCGTGGAGCCCGTGGGGGGAGGGCAGAATACGAGACCCCTCTAACTACTGCTGATGGGATGGGAAGAGGTCACTCTTCGTGTACTAACTCAAAAATGCTTGGCTGCTTCCTAGCACCTCTTGTCTGACGGCTTTGAGCACTGCTCGCACATTATTAATGACTGCAACAGCCCCGTGAGTTAGACAGTTATGATTCCCTCCGTGTTACAGATGGGAGCTCTGACACAGAGACTTACCCATGGCTAAGAAGTGACAACACACTGGCAATAGAGCCTGGGGGTCCTGACTCTTAGGACATCCATTGCTCTGCTCACATAT